ACTTTTGTTTGCAATGTACATATACTTTGCAATACAAACATGAAATGTAAAAACCAGAAAATAAAATTTCACAATATTTAAGTCTCGTTAAGTAAAAGAATCACTACATTGAATTATTTTTTTCGAAGAAGCTTTACATGCTTCTCAGCCACAAGAACAAATTTTGAAGGTGCAGTATCAGGGTGCCGAGGTAACAATCACCGTAGATTACTGCTTCCGTTTCTGAACAACTAACAACATCGAGGCAATGCTTCAAAAATTACAGAGCACTTTCACAAACTGTATATCATCTCATTTAACCCTCACAATAATTTTGTTAGGTTGGTATTGCTCAGCTATTCCTCCCTAGAAAATAAAGCTAAGGCTCAATGAAGTAAAATCCTATGAGCAAGGCCACTAAGTAAATAGTAGGACCAAGACTCAAACTCATCCCTTTGACCCAAAATTCTGTTATCTTTCTCCTTGCCTGATGTTTTTTAAAAAAGCTTTTATGCACTCCATGGCATTGCAATTCATAGTTTAATTTATTTCTTATTAAGTGATTCATTTTCATTTTAAAATGAAAAAAACAAAAATGGAAACTCTGAGAAGTTAAGCAACTTGCCCAAAGTCAGTCAGCAGGTGGACCTGGACACATGTTTCCCAGTTTGATGAGAACAGAGCCCACGTATACTGTTAGTCAACTTTAACGACTAACATATGGAAACAGTAACACATCAATGTACTTTATTGCTATTTAGGTGAGCCTATACTAAGGATGGCATGAAGTAATTTTTTTGTATTTCCTACCTCCTCCTGCTTTAGGTAATAATTCAGTTCCACAAGCAATACAGTAAAGTCCTGATTGGCAAGGCAGGTTACTTGGGTCCTTTTACAACAGATAAGAGAGATCAATGTTTGAAAGAATGGTTAATGTTTAAATATGAATACCATAGGACAGTCTGAAAAAAGGATAAAATATATAAAGATAATACTTGATACAAAATAATAACAATCAGTATTTAATACCATTAAATCTTTTCAATGACTATGAATCATATATAAATGATGGCACCTAACAGTGTGCATAAATAATATTCTACTTATACAATCTCAAACTTCATAATAGCAAGAAACCAACTGAAATATTTTAATATCAAGTTTTATAAACAGTGGTGTAAAATAATTTAATGTGAAATGATAAAGTTTTCTGGGAAAAAATTGAGAATCAAAATCATGTAAACTGCTTAGAAAAGACCAAGATTTAAAAAAATAGAAATATGTTATGAAGAATACTAAGACATCTCTATGACTTTGCCTTGTTAACAAATACTCCCTTTAATCAATATGACCATTAGATTTTCAAAGGTCAATTTCTGAGAATAGTAAGTTTCATACAGCTTTTGTTTTCCTTCTAAATACATTGAAGCTGTTTATTATAGAGTGGAACTTGGTATAAGATGGGTTGTTTTGGACCTAGTCCAAGAGTTTAGCTACTGAAAGCACTTCATTATTAGAAGGTTCAATAAGGAGATCCACTGGCTTGGATCCCTTGGATATTATAACAAGGCTCTTTTGTAGAGTACAGGAAGCCAGGCAGCTAATGGTTTGTTCTATCAAGCGAAAGCTTAAGAAACAAAATTCCTTTTTTTTTTGGTTTGGTAGGCATGAAAATCATTTAAGGCTAGATAATCAATAAGCCTAGGTCATCTGTCTAAATTTCCGTGTCCTGAGGGGATGTTCTTTTTTTGTACGTTCAATAGCTGCACAGATACTTCACGTAACGGTTTTAGCTTCCTTAGACATCAGCTGTCTGATACAGTTCTAAATTTATTTTTTATTATTAAGAAATTTCAGAATATTGACTTTCTACTTACAAAAGATTGACTGCATTTGTCTATAAAGATAGATCAAAAGAATTACCAAGAATTCATGAAAGTTAAAGTAAAATCTTTTTGAGCTCATTAATAAATCTGAGATTAAAAAGAGCACGAGCAAGAGTGAGTGTGTGGTAATCACATACAAAAAAAACGACATCGCTGAGATTGAGGGACTCCAATAACCAGTCTTTCAAGTGATTTTCAAGAGATACCTGTAAGTACATACCTATTTCAAAATTTCTGAAACACCTCTTAGATTTACTAAAAGCTGTGGCACATCTCTACATACATTATAAGTAACAGAAATTTTCAGCCTTGGGCAGTGCCTGATTTTACATCAGGCACTTTGACTTCATGAAATTTTATCGGCAATCCTAAAGAATGAAAGTTTCGATGCATTTTATTATAGGGAAATAATATGACAAAGTCATACTGCAGGAAAATATCACAGGAAAGCCTTAAAAAAATTAATGTCTTGAAAGATCATAAGGAAAACCAAAAACAAAGCCTTATGTGAGCTTTGAAACAGTGCCAAATAAAAAAAAAACACATGTAATAATTAAATGCATAGTAGTAGCATAGTCAGAGTGGTCATTAATTTCCAACACAGCTATAACAAGTTTTAAATGATTCATCTAAATTTCGAAAGTCAAAACAGGAAACATCTATTCTTTACATTGTACCTTTCTTCCATGAATAAAGCCCTTTGTCCAAATGGTAGTTTTCCTGGTTCGTGGCCTGTATACTCTACATACTTTCAGCCCTTGAATAAATTCAGTATTAGATAATTATTTCATATGAATAAAATGGGTAAAGCAAATTATCTGATAAGCAATTTCTATCTTAAATATCTCAAAAAGTCTTAGAGAATAAACCAAATAAATTTTCCTTCCTACCGCACAGTGATTTTTTATTGCTGGTTCATCTGTATCTTCCTCATCACCATCAGGAAAAGCGGCATACAAAGCAAGCATGCGCTCCAGTATATGACTGATTTACTAGCTAATAACTGATGGCCTGCCACATGCCAGATACTCTTTTAAATGCTTTTACCCGTTTTAATTTATTTAACTCTTTAAAATATCTCTTTAAAAAGCATGTAATCACCGATGAAAATATTTTACCTCCTACTCTATTATAAAGACTAGTACTTTACTTCTTGCAGTATCATCTTGGTCAAAGTTATGATATAAAGAGATACCAGTAAGTACATACCTATTTCAAAATTTTTGAAACACCTCTTAGATTTACTAAAAGCTGTGGCACATCTCTACATATGTTATAGGTAATAGAAATTTTTAGCCTTGGGCAGAAGTTGGAAGGAATATATATATTACCCAGGGAAAGGGGATGGTATTTATTTGAGATTAAGTTGAATAATAACACTAAGGTATGACTAAAAAATAATGTGCTTGCTTTTTCTCATGTAGTTTACCAATTCTTCTAAAGGCAATCTTCAGGGTGCAAACTGTTTTAAGCACAGCACTGTCACAGTAAATATCTTGCTTCCCAAGTTATTATGTATATATTCACACAATTACTTCCTAAAGGCAGATGAGTCTTATTTCACCTAGTCTATAAAATGCTTTACTTTACTAATTTTAGAACTAAAACAATTGAAAATTAAATCAGGATAAAATAACATATACTCCTTGAAATTATAGATTTTTAAAGCTAAAAGGGACTTGCATGATTTTATAGTACTAAATTCTGCATTTCACAGTGAAAAATATTACCCAAAAGGCACAGTAATTGTCAACATGAGTAAGTGACTATGGGCAGAGCCAAGAAGAACCAAAGTCTCTTTTCCTCCTCCACCTGGTATCTTTCTATGACCCCACTAACCTTACCTATGTATTAAAAACTATACCAGAGAGGAGAAATGATTATATCCTTTTAAAACAATTTTGAAATGACCTTCTAATATAATGTTTTACAACTCACTACTCACAGAACTAAAGAAATATGTAATATTAGGTGGGCTATAATACATCCCAATCTATAGATAAATTCTTTAACTAATGAATTATCAATTTAAATTTCTTTGAATTATGCTTAGAATTGTAACATCTTGGCCTATGGAAAGAGTTAAGCTGTATTCATTCTAAACACCATCAAAATAAAAGTAAACATATACATATATAAAAATTCATTTATCCAAATAAATATTAAAAATCTGATTGCCGGGAATTTTGATGTAAAAATAATAAACCACATCTACAACTTGAATGCCTACATTTTCAATTTACATTACTCACAAGAAGCCTAAATGCCCACAAGATAACAGATGCTTCTTAGAAAAAGATCAGTGAATGTAATTTTGGATTGATGTCAGAGTATGTTTTATAACCGTTTTTGATAAGCACTATAGCTTCATTCACGAAAACATAAAGTCAAAACTTACAGAAAGACTTATTGAGCTTTAAAGAAACATCTTTCAGCAACAGTTACATGTTGACATGTACTTACCAAATTTACATGAGGTTTTCTCTCTTAACAGCTGCAAAACAGCCCTTATGTCAATGTCAGAACGTGTCACCCCCCCAATGATTATGAATTAGATAATTAGATAATAGATAATTAGAATTGAAAATTTGGTCTCCTTCATTTGGCATTTTATAACTTTATATAGGTTTGCTTAAAACATGCTTGATTTTAGTTTATTAAACAAATGTAAAATAATGTCAATTTAAAATGTATGTAGTTTTCTTCCTTAATTCTTAATTACTAATTACTAGGCAGCTTAATAAAGGAATAAAGTTTTCAAGAGAACTTTAATTTCTAAAAAAAAAAAGTCAGGCTAATTTGAGGAAAAACAATCTATAGTGAAACATGGCTAAATTAGACTGCTATTAATTTTTATGCATCATATGAAAACAAATGAATGAAGACAACTACAAAATACAAATACTTATGTAAAATTTCAAATGCCCTAGACAATTGTGTATCTTTTAGATTGATTTTGAATTGCACTTAGGTAAGGAAAACATTTTGTATGAATCAATTTATCAAGACTCAAGGGTAGTAAAACTTAAATTTCTGAAAGTAATACTTTTAAAACTGTAATGACAATGAATTAAAGTAAAAACTATATCTCAAATTACCAAAAAAGATAACCACTTAGCCAATGTATAAGACATCATTCATAATGGAGTTTAATATAAGTCCAACAACATGTATTTATAGCTTGACAGTTAAGTATTACTATCTAACACCAGGGAACACACCTTTATTTTGGGAAGGAGACTGTTCAAAGTTCTTTATCTCCATTTCATGAGTTTCCTCCAGTTCTGATTCATTTTTGTGAGTTGTTCCTATATTACTAGCAATGTTATCAACTTTGCTTTCTCTAATACGTGCGGCTCCATTTGACCTTGTGTCTGTGCAATCCCTGGCTTTCCTCTCCCTGACTGCATCTACTTCTGTCACAGTCCTAATCTCAAAAAGTTCTTCAGCTAAAACACAATTTGAATTATTTCTACCAGTTTCAGCTGGTTCATTTTTTTCTCCATTTGCATCTACAGGATCATATAGTTCAGGTGTAAAATAGATAGATTCATCTTCTGCTTCTGCTTCAAAAGCTCTATTTGAAGTAGAAAGTCTGTCTTCTTCACTTACTGGAGACAATTCAATGTCTGGATCCTGGGCTTCTTCACTGCAGAGTAGCTGGTTGGAATGATTGTTTTTAAGAAGAGCGGCATTAATCTTTAATGATGAAACAGCGGTTTCTGACTGAGAGCCTGGTTCAGATGATGCGTTTACTCTTTGAGATGGGGACTCAGATTTATCAATGAGTGGCAAGCCAGTTTTACAACCCTTTTCTGTTTTGAAAGTGGAAGAACGAGAGACACAGTCCTCTGATGACCTAAACTTGGGTGTTGTGGTCAGAATTTTACCAGTATGATACTGTCCTGAAGAATTAAAGCTCGAGCAGCTAACTCTATTTGTTTGTTTGTTGAAGGTTGGGCTTGCGGATCTGGAAATCACAATGTTTTCTTCTTGCACTGCCTGGCCAGACTTCTCTAATAATACTGAATCATCTATGAATACAAAAATTAAAAAATGTTAACTTTCTGTCCTAACACGAAACTGGTTAGTAATCAAACCTGGTCTCAAACTTAGGTTTCCTGATTACCAATACAATGACCTTGAATTCACTATAACATTTATTGCAGAAGAAGAATATACTACAAATTTATATACTATTATATACTAATTAAAACAATTGAAATATTCCTTGATATAAACCACAATTTGGCAAACTGTTTCTATCACAGGCCAGACAGTAAATATTTTAGGTTTTATGGGTCATGTTGTATTTGCTGCAACTACTCAGTGGTGCTGGTCCAGTGTAATACATGCCATCACTCACCTTGGCCTTTGTATATAATATGCAAATGAACGGGCGTGACTGCGTTCCATTAAACTTTATTTATAAAAACAGAGAGTAGGCCAAATTTGGTCACAGGCCATAGTTTGCCAATCCCTGATATGGACCATTATAGTTAGTGTATTTTTAAGTATTTTCTATCATTTAGAATAAATGACTTTCATTTCCCAAAACTACAAAATTCATGTAAGAGGATTATCTATAAACTAGACACTATCAAATGTGAATGGACAGAACTTTTCATACTTTTCTGTACTTTCTGGATCTGATGTCACCTGCTAGTAAAGGACTTTCAGTTATTCATTTTAGGACATTGTGGTTCTTGGATACACAGTTTTGCTTTACCTTCCCTGGGATTTTCTGGTGATAGAGGACTTGCTGCTTCTGATACATAAACTGAGGTACTGTCCTTCAAACACGCCACTTCAAGTGTAGACTCACTGTACGGAATAGACTTTCTGTTCTCTTTGGGTACATCAATGACCTTTTGGTGTTTTTTGGAAAATTCAGCCAAGGACTCCAGTGCACTTTCAAAGGTTGAATGGTGCTGGATTTGCTGCCGGACCCATTTAGAAAGTCCTAAGAAAAAAGTAGACCCAGGGAAAAACTTTAGTTACTTCAGTATTAAGATATTATGTGCCAAGAAAAAACTTGGATAATTTTTCTAATAAAGTAACCTAGAATTTAGAGCATATGGAATGGTTCTCAATACTTTTCCTGCCTTTTTACCTTCACGTGTACAAGATGCGCATATTTCGGTAGCGTTTCCCTTTATACCCAGTGATCCTCAAATGCAGAGAGGGGAGAGGCCAGGGGGACAGAGTAGGAAGGGGGAGATTTTTATTTGTCAGTTTAGAATAACTGGGGAATAAGAGCTCATTTGAATCTAATTTCACAACTGCCCACAAAAATTGCCTGTCTTTCATTTGTAGGGAAACTAGAAGTTGCAAACAACACAACCTTGCATTCCGAATTTCTAAATTTGACTCCTTTTGCAAAAACAAGTTCAACATTCCTGTCTCACAGGTTTTTTTGTTCCTCTTTTCCCCTGATTCCAAATATGTCTTAAACTATCCTGGAGGATAAAAGGAATAACTCTTTTTTATGAGTAAATCATGTCCCCTCTAAATATTACATTGTTTTTAAAATATAAATAATCAAGTTGCAAGGGACAAAATTTGACCAGTGACATATGAAAACTGCATAAAAATGAACCATATTGAATATAAGGTGTTTATTTTTTGTATTGATTTTAGAGAAAGAAACATGGATTTGCTGTTCCCCCTATTTATGCACTCATTGATTGATTCTTACCTGACCAGGGATCAAACCTGCAATCTTCGTGTATGGGGATGATGCTCTAACCAGCTGAGCCACCTGGCCAGGGCTAAGGTGTTTTATAGTGTGACTCACTTCAGAATGAAATTCAAAATCAGATATTTGAACTTTTAGAAAATCAATGTTCTCTGCTAATATTACTAAAATTATCACCTTTTCAAGTAGTTGAAAAAGTTACTATGATTTTTTAAGTTCAAAGAAAGATAAGACAGTTCTTCAAACAACTTGAACTACCTACTACATTTCTATTTCAAATACATTCCTTTAGTTTGTTGTTTTAATGAAGTTTTTCTTTAAATCTATATTTAGAAATATTGAACTTAAACAGAAATCAGTCATCAAAAGAAATCTGTATGTTGTGGTTTTTATTGGCTAAATAAGAGTTCACACTTTGAGTCTCAGAAAAAATAAAACAAAACCATACAGAAATAATTAAAAATTAATTAAAAAAATCAGCAAATCTGAACTATAAGGTAAAAAAGTTTAAGTTCTAGATTTTGAAATAAGAAAGAAGTAAATAATCATTTCCCTTCAAGTTCTTTATTTTTGGTTGCTAGAAGAAAATAAAAATACACCACATAAAAATATGAAATTTTCCAAAATGAAGAAATTTTTGTATTATAGTTACCTCTTCCATTTCGAGTATTTTGTAATCAAAGTAAGCCTTTTCAGTGTAAAATGTCAGTTAGCTTTTGAGACTTGAAAGAATCTGAGCTCCACCTGCTGACTAAACAGAAGCACGTAACGTTTTGCTTTTAATTATGTGTTGACCTAAGCACAATGGCTTGCTCTACATACAAGGGCAGAAGACTAATAAACCAGCATTTGCTGTTTTAATCCAGGTGGGTATGTTTTGACATCAAGCTAAATATACTAATTAGGCTCTGAAATGAAAAAAGTCTAGTCCATACCATACCCATAGGTAACTAATTTGAAACAAATTTAAAATTTAGCATCTTTTCGTTATAGTGTGGTATGAACTTTCTAGCAGTAAAGATAATAATAAAGATGCAAATAATTCCAACAGTTCTTTAACAACTGATGGATTCCTGGTATTGCCTCTAAAGGGACTGTGTTACTGCAAAAAAAAAAAAACAACAAAAAAAACGACAGATGCTTCTTGACTCATAATGGGGTCATTTCTCAATTAACCCACACTAAGTTGAAAATATGGCTAAGTCAAAAATGCATTTAATACACCTAATCTCCCAAAGATCACAGCTGAGCCCAGTCTACCTTAAATGTGCCCAGAACACTTACATTAGCTTACAGTTGGGTAAAATCATCTAACATGAAGCTATTTTATAATTCCCAGCATCACCACAGAGTATCCTACCACATACCACTATCCCAGGAAAAGATCTAAATTCAAAGTGTGTTTTCTGCTAAATGCATACAACATTTGCACCATTGTTCCAGTGGGGAAAAAACGGCCACCTATTTCACTTTGCAGCATGCAGTGGTGTTTTTCCATTTATAAAATCTTAGTTCTGACTAACATAAACTCTAGAGTAACTAAAGCATTTCTAAACAAACCAATAAACACAGCAACAACTTCGACATAACCCAGAATGAGAGAATATAGAACCCTAAGCAGCCAAAGCAGATGTGCCTGTATGCTTAAATGTAAAAACTTGACATTGCTTAGAAAATTCATTTCTGTAGAACAGCTTTTCCCTGATAATGCTAAGTAAATTATTATGGTACTAAGTCAGATCCCACATTCCATAAAACTGAAGTATCCTAAGTGATTAATACTATGTTGATAACTAACCAGATTCTCCTCTATAAAGATTTTTTGCAAACACGTAAGCATTAAAAGCCTAGATTTTCAGTCAATATTAATTTTCCATGTTTGATCTAAATATTCAAATTCTCACAATGCAATATACAGATGGCCTATCACAGAACTGTGCGCTTGAAACCTATATAATTTTATTAACCAATGTTGCCCCAATAAATTTAATTAAAACATTCTCTGATTCTTTAAAAGTAGAAGTCACTAAAGATTGTTATTTATTGTTACTCTAAGCCCAGCTGAGAATCTCACCAGATATATATCGAGTTGGATTACTTCTGAAGCGGTCATCCACTAGAATAAGAGCTCCCCAATCGTTTTTATGTCGAATACATCTATAAAAAATTAGGAAGAAAGCAAAATAAACATAACTTTGAAAATAAAGCTAAATTTCTAATGGGACAGATAAAATACTGAGAAAAATCAATGATATGTCTTTGATTTATATTCCTCTCATCAAACTCGTTACTATGAACAAGGTTATAGAAACTACTATTTCTACTATGACTACTATGACCACTGCCACTTCTTGGCTTTTGACCTTTATAAATTGCGTATTGACTCCATTCATCTTATATTACTGCTTCATCATCACGTCTCTACTCCAATGGACTTGTATCACAATTCTTGTATAAATCAATATTCAGGGTATTACCCTTTACAAAGGTGAGTGACATGGTGCACTATGATTTTATTTCCCTTCTAGTATAAGATTTGTTGTCTTCCTTGGAGTTAATAACCATCTCCACCTTTTTTTTTTTTTTGCTAATCTCTATCTTTTCTATCATTAATTAGTTCCCAAGCTTTGCCACAGTTGTAAAAATTCTTCCCAATATGGTAAAGCCCTCAGAAACCAAAGTAGACTGAGTAGGACGGGACCCGGGGGCTGCTGCACGGCTGTCATTGCGGGTTTCCCTTCCTGACACATTGAGAATTTTGCAAATTCTCTTCCTTTCTTTTGGGTTGAAACTCCAGTTTTCTTATTCCATATCCATGGAATAAGAGAAATCTGCCCTATGAAAGAAAGGCATTTAACAAAGCAGTTCAGAGACAAAGGGTTCACCTTTTCATTTTCCCATGGTTTTCCTACTGCCTCCCTCAAATGAATTATGCCCACTTGAGACAAAGATTATACTTTTAGTAAAGCAGCCCTGTTAGGAAATTCATAGTGCAGTTGTAACCTAGCCACAAAACCATCTGGTCCATTCCCAAAGGCTGTTATTACATTTCATGGACTTGTATTACTTCAAATACACTAATAGTCCCACGTGGCCTTAAAAAAAAAAAGACAACACTTTTTAAACACAAATTTGTTTCTGTTTACTTCAGACCCTTTGGGCAGATCCCCTGTAAGGCGAGGGCCTGAGCACAAGCACTGTTTATGTCAATCAATACGCATTATGAGTTTTATCAAATGATGTAAAATATTTACTTGATTTTTAAATGGACACATATCTTTGTAAGTTGTTACTTGTTGATACTGTTTCCCTTCAAATCAGTACAGTCACAGTTGAGCTAAGCATTTTTAATTAATAAAATACTAAAACTACAGTATCATATATCAATATTACAAACACGTGCTTTTCATTAGGTTTAGAAAAGTATGTTTTGAGGCTCTAGAAGCTCTTTGACCGATGTGGTGTAATGAAAACAAGCATGGAGCCTGGCATCGTTCAACAAAGGTTAATTGAGCATCTATGCCCCCAGCTGGGACACGGTTATGAAGAATGCAAAAACGTGTAATACACATTTAGGAAAGGAGACAGAGAAATAACAGGCTATTATAATACAATGAGATATATGCTCTAATAGAGATAATATATAAAATGCTATGGGTTTCCTAAAGAATAAATAACTTTAGTTTTAGAAGTAAAAAGAATCTTCATAAAGGACATGATTTTCAATTAGGTTTTGACTGGCACACTTGCCAAATGAATTGTATGGTAACTTGTACACTAAGGCAGAGAGTAATGAAAGGACATAGTATGTTTAATAGTTTAATAGTGACATTATGTTTAATAGTGAGAACTTTACTGGATGGAAGTAAGGTATAAGAATGAGAAAAACAGGTGTTGAGGTTTTAAAAAGAGGCGGAGCCAAGATGTTCAGCTCCATCTACTAGCTATGTGAAGTTAGATAAGTACCAGTAATTTCATCTATCACAATAGTGTATGTAAAAATGTTTATAAATGACAAAGTGAGATGCAAATGTATAGTCATGCACCCCTTAACGAGGAGGATACGTTCTGAGAAATGCGTCAGTAGGTGATTTTGTCATTCTGCACACGTCAGAGAGCGCACTGTGCAAATTTTTGCTAGATGGTATAGCCTATCCTAGACTACAAACATGTACTGAATACTATGGCAACTGTGGCACAAATACTTGTGTATTGTGTATGTAAACAACAACAAAAAATACCGTAAAAACATGGTATCAAAGATAAAATGATACACCTATACAGGGCACTTACCATGAGTGGAACTGGTAGGACTGGAAGTTGCTCTGAGTGAGTGGATGACTGAGTAGTGTCGATGGTGAAGCCTGGGACAGTACTGTGCACTACTATGTAGTTTAGAATATCAAAGCTGTCCATGCTGCTTCATGGACAGGGATGTGGTTTGCACTGACTGTAATTACCAAGAAGAAACTGGATGGGGGAAGGTGTGTATCACCTTAATGGCAACTGTCAGGAGGGAGTGAAAGGTAGCCTGAGAATCAGTAGGAATAAGAAATCAAGACAGAGAGAAAAGGAACATAGGGGATTGCCATGGCCATGTAGTTTGGGCTATTGCATGTTGGAGCAGAAGTCAGATTAGAAACTTTTTGGTTTTCATTAAAAAAAAAAAAAAAAGAGGGTAGAAACATGTAGAGGGTATAAAACTGAGAACTCAGTATTCTGACTTTGGAAAATTATTTGTGGTTCCACTGAGCATATCTGGCATAAAGGGCTCTCTCTGGCATTGAATTGATGGAAGAAATAAAACTTATCTATACTTTACATTATTATAACCTGCAATTACTTCCAAAATACAGGCACAAGCTGACTCCACACTACCACAGAAAGATTTACTGAACTGGCAGTGGCACTGACTTCTTATTCAATAGCTCCCGTGGACCTGCGTCCTAGTGCAGGCTCTCAGGTCCTCAACAAACAATTTATAGCAGTGAACTCTGAAGACCATCGGGCTAGATTTGGGAGGGCTGTGACACCCTCTAGCACGTAGTGGTGGAGGGACAGGCTCCTCTGTGCTAAAACAGGTCAGGGGCTGACTCACTGGGATGTAATCTGCACACTTAAAATTGAGGTACTGTGATTGTGAGTGTGAGGTAATCTATTCTAAGCCCCACAGACATTGCTCCCATTAGAGAAAACAGAAAGTCCTCCTGAACTATATATCCTTCCATTTCTTATAAGAAATCTCCACTCTACTCTTACGGGACCACCCTCGTATACATGCTCCATTTTTGACCAAAATGTTGTCATGTGGCACATGGCTATACTTTTGCTTCAAATGGTTTCTTGAAATTTAAGGCATTGCTTATATTACAAGGAAAAATAATCAAGTAAGTGAGAATATTTTTCTAAAATTAAGTCAGGAATTTTAAACGAGTATTTAGCTCCCCTCAAAACTATTTGCTGAACATTAAAATTCCAACAAAACAAAACGAGACAGGTCAATGGACAGGAAGAGACGAAGTAAGCAGACGAAGTGCTTCAAGAACAGCTTGCAGTGCAACTTGGTGCCAAGTATCAATGCACTTCCTAGGCAGAGAAGGGAAATAGCTTAACGAGGTCAGCATATTAACGATAGCGCTCGATCATTCAGTTTGAAGTGAAACACCCACAGGACACCAGTCCGAAATAAGGGGGAAGGGAGGGATGATGTGTTCTGGGACTTACATCCAGCGGTAGCAGTCCTACGTCATCAGCTATACGTAAATATGAACTTTAATGCATTCTGGTCTGCTTATGTATAAATGGGCTAATGTGAGTGAATGAGATACTTGAAAAAAAAATCCACATTCTGAATTTGGCTAGGTCAGATAATGGTTAGCTGTGGGTCTTCTGAATGAACTGAAAATATGTCAGATGGTCATGTTTTCATGATTTTACTCTTAACCTGTATTCATTTATTTGATATATCTAAAAGCCTTACAGCCACACAGAAAAAAATTGAACAGTTGAAACTAACTAGAATTTCATAAACAGAAAATATAAAATATTAAATTGGATTATCAAAAATCTAATAATTATAGTGTTTAAAAATTAAATGTTGGTATCCTATAATATGGAATTATGACATAAAATGGTGATTTAAAAACCAGTTCCACAAAGTACAAATCTTAATGAATCAGAATCCTTAGAAAAAGGAGTATTATAATTAAATTTTACTGTTAATTAGTGTTAATTCTTTAGGATCACAAGCATGGTTTGGTTTAACCCTTCTTGAGTGGTTTACTTTTTACCCATAAAATCATCATGAGTGTGATGGTTATGAGGTAAAAATTTTATTGTTTGTTGGTAAATTCTATAAACATTTACTGTACACCTTTGTGTGACATTCATTGTTTGAACAATCAAAAACCTTCTTTAAACTTTAGCAAGTTGAGTTTTGCTTTGGTTTTCATTTATTTCATTGATTCTTTTCAACTTTCACTTGTGACATCTATCATTGAAAAGATACCAGTTCCTGGGGTTCTAGTGAAATAAATTGGAAGGGTCGTCAGGAGCACGTATAAAAGGACTCATGGACAAAACCAAAGCAGGGTATGACTAAGGGTGGGAGGTGGGGTTGGGGGGCAGGAAGAAGTGGCAGGGGGAAAATGGAGACCACTGTACTTGAACAATTTAAAAAAGAAATAGAAATAAAGATGTAGAAGAAAAGAAATAAAAAGTGAGATACAGAAACATGTTTATTTATATTAATAACCACAATAAACTAATGCATAAACACGAAAAATCAATTAACTTTATTATAAGGAGTAAAGTAGTAAGACAAGCTCTACACAGAGCCCTGATCACAGATAATGTTACAGTAACATTGTATTAAATTGCACTTCACTTACCTACCTAGGGCCTGGTTTAAGGCCCTGTATGCTTGGATTTCATACCATTGACGACCGGGTAAAAGACCTCTCAATTTTGAATGCTGGTCATTATACTGGCGCTTTAGTTCAACCTAATAATTTACAATTAGAATAAAAATAGAGTAGATAATTAAAGTTCATTTTAAATCCTATTAACTTCAAACATTTCAAACATCATTTTAGTAATGTAGAGAGATTTTGTCTTTCAGTGCTAAGTTGGTTTCGATTTATTTAAATATTTCTCATTTTTAAACTTTTTATTGAATTTATTGGGGTGCCATTGGTTAATAAAATTATATAGATTTTAGGTGTATAATTCTATAATACATCATCTATATACTATGCTGTATGTTCACCAACCTCGGTCATCTACTCATCCTTACATTCCCTAAATTCTTAAATTTAGGGAATGTGATGATAAGCTGTATTGAGAAATAATACACATATAATAAAATCCACAAATATTCAACATACATGGAAATAAGTTTTGATAAATATATAGTCATATAATCACCATAAGAATCAAGATGTAGAATATATTCAGCACCCTCAAAAGTCCCTCCTATCCCTTTTCCATTAATTGCCAGTTCTGCTGACCTTGTTTACTAAAATAACCTGCAGTTTTGTGTTTTCTAGAATTTCATGTAAATGTCATACAGCATGTAATTATGTCTGTCTGTTTTCATTTAACATCATGATTTTGGAATTCATTCATCAGTAGTTCGTTCTTTTATGTTTATCCAGTCTGATAATCTCTGCTTTTTTCTATGGGATATTTAGGCCATTCAGGTTAACGTGATTATTGTTATAACATGGCTTAAATCTACCGTAGCAGAACCCACAGTCTTCTCAAGCACACATGTAACATTTTCCAGGAAAGATTATGTGTTAGGTCACAAAACTAGTCTTCAGAACTTTGAGAAGACTGAAATCATATCAAGTATCTATTTCAACCACTAGAGCATGAAATTAGAAATCAGTAACATGAGGAAAACGAATATTCACAAACATGTGGAAATTATCAAACACCTGAGCAAACCAATGGGTCAAAGAAGAAATTTTAAAAAATCAGTATCTTGGTAAAAATGAAAATAGAAATCAAAATTATGGAATGCAGCAAAACCAGTTCTAAAACAAATGTTTAAAGCAATAAACAACCTAACTTTACACCTTAAAAAGATAAACTAAACTCAAAGTTAGTAGAAGGAAGAAAACAATTAAGATGAGAACAGAAATAAATGAAATATAAACTAGAAAAAACAAAAAAAATCATTGACATTAAGAATTAGTTTTTGAAAAAATAAACAAAACTGACAAACTTTTGCTAAATTAAAAAAAACTCAAATAAAATTATAACTGAAAGAGCAGATTACAGCTGAGACTACCAAAATGCAAAGGATCATAAAAGACTTCTAGGAAGATTTATGTGCCCCAAATTGAATAAACTCAAAATAAATAAATTCCAGTAAACATATAATCTACCAAATCAGTAAGTTGTGAAGAAATAGAAAATCTGAATAGACCTAAAATACTTAAAGAGATTGTAGTACTAATAAGACAATCTCTGTACAAAGAAAATTCCGGGGCCAGACAGTTTCACTGGTGAATTCTACCAAGCATTTAAGGAAGAATTAACATTGATCCTTCTCAAATGCTTCTGAAATATTGAAGAAGAGGGAACACATCCCAATGCATTTTAGGAGACCAGCAGTGTTCTCTCACCAAAGCCAGGTAAGCACAATATTCTTGCTAAACAGTTATAAAAATCCTCAATAAAATATCAGCAAACTGAATTGAACAGCTCAGTAAAAGAACCATACACCGTAATCAAGTGGGACTTATCCCTGCAGTGCAAGATTGGTTCAACATACATAAATCAATAAATGTAATACACCAGAGTAACAGAATGAAGGATAAAAATCATATGATCATTTCAATGCAGTTGATGCAGTTGACGCAATAAATGCAGAAAAAGCATTTGACAACTTTAACACCATTTTATAGTACAAACTATTAAAAAATTCAGTATGGAAGGAATGTACCTCAACATAATAAAGACCATGTAGACAAGCCTACATATAACGTCATAGTCGATGGTAAAGAGCTGAAAATTTTTCCTCTAAGATCCAGAACAAGACAAAGGTGCCCACTCCCTCCATTTCTATTCAACAAAGTACTGAAAGTCTTAGCCTGAACAATTAAGCAAGGAAAAAAAAACATAAAAGGCATCCGAATCAGAAAGAAAGAAGTAAAATTATCTGTGTTTGCAAATGGCATGATCTATATGTAGAAAACTCTAAAGACTCTGTCAAAAAAAAAAACAAAAACCCTATTAGAACAAACAAATTTAGTCGAGTTGCAAGACATAAAATCAGTAAGACCTAAAACCATAAAACTCATAGAAGGAAACACAGGCAGTAAACTCTCTGACATCACTCTTAGTCATATTTGTTAATATATCTCCTCCAGCAAGATAAGCAAAAGAATAAAAACAAATGGGACCACATCAAACTAAAAAGTTTTTGCACAGCAAAACACCATCAACAAGCCCTGGCTGGTGTGGCTCAGTGGATTGAGCATGAGCCTGCGAACCAAAAGATCGTGATTTGATTCCCCGTCAGGGCACATGCCTGGGTTGCAGGCCAGTTCCCAGCAGGGACCAATTCCCAGCAGGAGATGCACAAGAAACAACCATACATTGATATTTCTCTCCCTCTCTCCTTCCCTTCCCTTCTAAAGATAAATAAATAAAATTTTAAAAAATGATATCAACTTTATAAAAAAAATCAACAAAATGAAAAGACAACCTACTGAATGGGAAAGATATTCGCCAATGATACATACAGTAAGTGTTAATATGCAAATTACAGGGATGAGCAAAAGTAGTTTTATAGTTTGTTATATGGAAAAAGACATGCAGGTTATATAATTACTGTGATAGCTTTAGAAACTCAAAACAATATCACCACGGCACTTACGAGATTATACATAAAGCACTGTGACACTGTGACATTCTTTTGAGTTAAAAAAGCTTTTGAAATAATTATAACCTGTATGTCTTTATCCACATGAATGAACTGCAAACCTACTTTTGTCCACCCTTCTATGTAAGGACCTCATACAACTTAACAGTAAAGACAAAAAAAAAATTTTTTAATACACAGAAGACTTGAGTAGACATTTTTTTCAAAGAGGATATACAGTCAATGGATATACAGAGAAACGCTCAACATCATTAATCATCAGAAAAATGCAAATTAAAAACAAAATGAAATATCACACCTCATACTGTCAGAATGGCTATCATCAATAAATCAATAAACAACAAATTTTGGCAAAGAGGTAGAGAAAAGGGAACCCTTGTGCACTGTTGGTGGATTGCAAATTGGTGCAGCCACTATGAAAAACATGGGGGTTCTTCAAAAAATTAAAAATAGAACTACCATATGACCCAGCACTCCCACTTCTGAGTACTTATCCGAGGAAACCCAAACACTTATTCAAAAAGGTATATATGCGCCCCTGTTTGTTGCAGCATTATTTACAATAGCTAACATTTGGAAGCAACTTAAGCATCCATCAACAGACAATTGGATAAAGATGATGTGGTACATATATACAATGGAATATTACTCCACTATAAGAAAGAATGAATTTTTACCATTGTGACAACACAGATGGACCTGGAGGGTGTTACGCTAACTGAAGTAAATCAGACACAGAAAGACAAATATCATTTGATTTTGCTTGTATGTGAAATTTAAAAAACAAAGTAAATGAACAAACAAAATCGAAACTCAGATCAGAAAACACACTGAGGGTTGCCCAGTGGGAGGAAAGTTGGGGAGCTGGGTGAAAAAGCCAAAGGGATTCAGAAATACAAATAGGCAATTCCAAAGCAGTCTTGGGGATACAGGCCAATATACTGGCCTACATTCTATAGAGAATATAGAATATAGCCAATAACCTTGTAATAACTACATGGTGTCAGGTGAGTATGCGATTTACTGGGTGGACCGCTCTGTAAAGTTATGTAAATGTCTAACGACCACACTGCACACCTGAAACTAATATAATATTGAATGTCAACTAATTAAAAATAAAAATATTTTAAAAGCATACAAAATTCAGTTGTCTTTGTAGACAATAACAACAAACTAGCCCCTCAAAGTAGGAAAACAACCCCATTTTACAATAGCATCAAAAGGAATTAAATACATTGGAATAAATTTAACAGAAGAGGAAAAAGATCTTTACACTGAACACTGTAAGATGATGGAAGGAATTAAAGAAACAAAAATAAATGAAAAGATACTGCATTTATTTATGGATTAGAAGAATTAAGAGACTTCCGCCAAGATGGAGGCATAGGTGGATGTGCCATGCCTTCTCACACAACCAAGTTTAGAGACAACTAAATATTAGCAACAGAAAACACAGCCAGAACACGGAAAATTGAACTTTTCGGAAGTCCGTTAACAACAAATTCTTCAGCCTGACCGGTAAGGGGCGAAACCAGCGGCTGGTGAAGCGGGGTTGCACAGGAGGACTCGGTCAGACGGACTCAGGTGCGGAATCCAGGCGCAGGGTTGGACCTAGTGAGCGACCGAGCGAGCGACCGCGGGGGAGCCAGCGGGGAGCGGTGCTGCGTGTTGACTGTGGTCGCCCATTTGTGCGCAAGCGGACAGGCGAGGGAGTGGGCGGTTGGACCGGCCCGGCGGGTCCCCGTGGCAAGCAGCAGTGGAGGGCGCCGCCATTTCCCTGCTCTGACCCCACCTCCACATACAGTATCATAACCCAGCAACTCTGAGTGGCCCGGCCCAGGTGAACCACCAAATGCGCTGCTCCTCACCCAGCTGTCAGAAACAGCAGAGGGGGTCGCCATTTCCCCGCTCTGACCATGCCCCCACATACAGCGTCACAACCCAGCAACCTGGGAGTCCAAGGCACCGCTTCTCACACTTAAAGGGTGCAAACAGACCAAAAATAGCTCAAGAAGATCTCAAAGCCCCAGAGCCCTTAGATCTAAGCGATGAAGAAATAGCAAAACTCTCAGACGCACAGTTTAAAACACTGGTGATCAGGATCCTCA